AAGGGGAATTTTGGGGGCTCCTGGGGATATTTTGAGAAATTTTGGGGGTCCTGAGGAGTTTTGGGGAGGATTTTGGGTGAATTTTGAGCGGATTTTGGGATGAATTTGGGGTGATTTTGGGATGATTTTTGGGATGATTTTTGGGGTGCTTTTGTGGTGAATTTGGCGGATTTTTGGGTTAATTTGAGGTGATTTTGGGATGATTTTTGGGGTGAATTTGGGCAGATTTAGGGCTGATTTTTGGTGTGGATATGAGGATAAATTTGGGGAGATTCCGTGGTGAATTTGGGGTGATTTTTGGGGTGAATTTCACGTGATTTTTGGGCAGACTTTTGGGGTGTATTTGGGTTGAATTTGGGGCAGATTTTTGGGGTGATTATGGGCAGATTTTTGGGGTGATTATGGGCAGATTTTTGGGGTGATTATGGGCAGATTTTTGGGGTGAATTTGGGTTGAATTTCAGGTGCTTTTTGGGCAGATTTTTGGGGTGAAATTGGGTGATTTGGGGCAGATTTTTGGGGTGACTTTGGGGTGATTTGGGGCAGATTTTTGCGACGAACTTGGGTGATTTTGGGCAGATTTTTGGGGTGAATTTGGAGTGATTTTTGGCAGATTTTTGGGGTGAATTTGGGGTGATTTTTGGCAGATTTTTGGGGTGATTTGGGGCAGATTTTGGGCAGATTTTTGGGGTGAATTGGGGTGATTTTGGTCTCTCCCCTCCCCGCAGGAGACCCTGACCCTCCTCCCCGACGGCTCCTTGGGGGGCCCCCCCCAGACCGAGCCCCCCCCGAGCCCCGGGGACCCCTCCCCAAATTGGGGCGAGCCCGAAACGCCCCAAAAATCCCCAAATTTCGGGGGGACCCCCCTGACGTTCCGCCTGGGGCTGTCGGGGGCCGAGCGGGCGGCCAGGGCGGCCCTGACCCCCCCGTACCTGCTCAGGTGAGTCCGGGGCACCCCAAAATCCCCCAAAATCACCCCAAAAAATGCCCAAAATTCCTCCCCAAATCCTCCCCAAATTGCCCCAAAATACCCTTCAAAAATGCCCAAAAATTTGGTAAAATCGCCCCAAAAAATCCACCAAAATCCCTGGAATTCCTCCCAAAAATTCACCCCAAATTCCTCCTGAAATCGCCCCAAAATGCCCCAAAAATCCCCCCCCAAAATCCCTGAAATTCATCCCCAAATCCTCCTCAAAATCCTCCCAAAATTGCCCCAAAATCCCCGTGGAAAATGCCCGAAAATTTGGGAAAATCCCCCCAAAATTGCTGAAATTCCTCCCAAAAATTCACCCCAAAATTGCCCCAAATTTCCCCATAAATTCCTCAAAATTCCCCCAAAATTCCCCATAAATTCCCCAAAATTTCCCATAAATTCCCCAAAATTCCCCAAAATCTCCCAAAATTCCCCATAATCCCCCAAAATACCCCCAAATTCTCCATAATTTCCCATAAATTCCCCAAAATCCCCCTAAATTTCCCCAAAATTCCTCATAAATGCCCCAAAATTCCCCAAAACCCCCCAAAATACCCCCAAATTTCCCCAAAATTCCCCATAAATTCCCCAAAATTCCCGAAAATCCCCCCGAAATTCCCCAAAATTTCCCAAAATTGCCCAAAATTCCCCCTAAATTCCCCAAAATCCCCCAAAATTCCCCCACATTTCCCCAAAACTCCCCCCAAATTCCTCATAAATTCCCCAAAATTCCCCAGATTTCCCCCAAAAATGTTCCTAAATTTTCCCCAAATCTCCCAAATTTCCCCCAAATTCCCCAGGAGCGACCCCGAGCCGCCCCCCGAGGACCCCGAGGACCCCGACGAGGACCTGGAGCTGTGACCCCCCCCCCGGGAACCCCAAATTTGGGGAGAAAATCCCCAAATTTGGGACCCCAATAAAGGAGCTGCTGCCCCCCCACCCTCCCGATGTCGTTTTGGGGCAAAATCCCAAAATTTGGGGAAAAAAAAAATCGAGTTTTAATGTGAAAATCCCAATTTTAGAGGGAAAAAGTTCCTAATTTTAGGGGGGAAAATTCCAAATTTTTGGGGAAAAAATTCCCAGTTTTAGCGGGGAAAATCCCAAACTTTTGGTGAAAAAAAATCCCAAATTTTTGGGGAAAAACTTCCCAAATTTTGGGGAGAATTTTTCCAGTTTTAGGGGGGAAACTCCCGATTTTTTGGGGGAAAACCCAAATTTTTGGTGAAAAAAATCCCAAATTAAGGGGGGAAATCCCAAATTTTTGGGAAAAAAAAAATCCCCAAATTTCCAAGGGTTTGGGGGAAGTGGGTGGGGCTTCGTGAGACCACGCCCCTCATTTAAATATAACAAAAAAAGCATATTTAGGCAAAGAACACACCCCTTAACTTGCATAGGAGACGTCAATAGTGCACAATGTACGACCCTTTACTTTACATAAATTTGCATAAAAGAAGCAATGTTTCACCTTACTTTGCATAAATTTGCATACAAGGAGAAGCAATCTGCTCATTCAAGAAACCACGCCCCTTAATTTACATAAAACACAATAATTTGTTTAGGGATAATCCTAACTAGTGCAAACCACGCCCATTAATTTGCATAAAACACTCAATAATTAGTTTAGGGCTAATCCTAACGAGCGCAAACCACGCTCCTAATTTACATAAACGAGCTGTCAATCATTCAATGATATTCATTCCAATAGCTGAAACCACGCCCCTAATTTACATAAATGAGCCGTCAATCACCCCACGTGTAGTCATTCCAATGGCTGAAACCACGCCCCTAATTTACATAATGGAGCTGTCAATCACCTCACGTGTATTCATTCCAATGGCTGAAACCACGCCCCTAATTTGCATAATCAAGCTGTCAATTACCCCACGTGTATTCATTCCAATAGCGTAAGCCACGCCCCTAATTTACATACGAACTGCCAATCATCTCATAATTACCATCCCGCCTGCAGAAGCCACGCCCCTCATTTACATAAAGCGCTGTCAATCACCGCCCGGTTTTTTCTATAGCAACGCGACTTTCCCTTTAATTTACATAACCCCGCCCACCGCCTCAGCCCTTCCATTCACTGCCGTGGCAGCGGCCACGCCCCTCTGTGCAAACCACGCCCACCCCATTGGGGTGAACGGATGTGAGACCACGCCCCCCGTGCGTGGCCCCGCCCCCCGTGCGTGCCCCGGAAGCGGCGCCGCCGGAAGTGGCGGCGGGCGATGGCGGCGATGGCGGCGCCGGCGGCGGCCCCGGCCGAGCCCCGGTGAGGCGGCGGAGCCCCGGAGCGCGGCCGGGCGCGGCCCCGGCGGCGGCCCCCGAGGCGGGGCGGGCCGCGGGCGGCGGAGCTGGCGGAGCCGGGCGGCGCGGCCGCGGGCGGGAGCGGCGGCGGCGGCGGGATGATGCGCAGCCAGTGCCTGCTCGGGCTCCGCTCCTTCGTGGCCTTCGCCGCCAAGCTCTGGAGCTTCGCGCTCTACCTGCTGCGGCGGCAGGCGCGCACCGTGCGTACCGGGACCGCCCGGGAGAACGGGACCGCGGGCACGGGGCCGGGAACCGGGAGAACGGGGACGGGACCGGGATGGAGCCGGGAGAACGGGATAACGGGACCGGGAGAACGGGGAGAACGGGGATGGAGCCGGGAGAACTGGGACGGGATAGAACTGGGACAACAGGGAGAACGGGGATGGAGCCGGGACAACGGGAACGGGACCGGGAGAACGGGAACAGGACCGGGACAGCGGGAACGGGAACGGGACCGGGATAACGAGAACGGGACCAGGATAACGGGGATGGAGCCGGGAGAACGAACGGGGACGGGATAGAACCGGGACAACAGGGAGAACGGGGATGGAGCCGGGAGAACGGGAACGGGGACGGGGCCGGGAGAACGGCGAGAACGGGGATGGAGCTGGGAGAACTGGGACGGGATAGAACCGGGACAACAGGGAGAACGGGGATGGAGCCGGGAGAACGGGAACGGGGACGGGGCCGGGAGAACGGGGATAACGGGGATGGAACCGGGACAACGGGGACGGGGCCGGGAGAACGGCGAGAACGGGGATGGAGCTGGGAGAACTGGGACGGGATAGAACCAGGACAACAGGGAGAACGGGGATGGAGCCGGGAGAACGGGAATGGGATAGAACCGGGACAACGGGGATGGGGCCGGGAGAACGGGGAGAACGGGGACGGGACCGGGATAACGGGAACGGGATAGAACCGGGACAACAGGGAGAACGGGGATGGAACCGGGAGAACGGGGACGGGACCGNGGGAGAACGGGGATGGAACCGGGAGAACGGGGACGGGACCGGGATAACGGGAACGGGATAGAACCGGGACAACAGGGAGAACGGGGATGGAACCGCGAGAACGGGGATGGGACCGGGAGAACGGGGATAACGGGGATGGAGCCGGGAGAACGGGGACGGGATAGAACCGGGACAACGGGAACGGGGACGGGGATGGGACAATGGGAACGGGACCGGGATAACGGGGATAATGGGGATGGAGCCGGGATAACGGGGGTGGGATAGAACCGGGATAACGGGAATGGGAAAGGAATCGGGATAACAGGAACGGGATAGAACCGGGATAACGGGAACGGGATAGAACCGGGATAACGGGAATGGGATAGAACCGGGACAACGGGAACGGAGCCGGGATAACGGGAATGGGAACGGGAACAGGACCGGGATAACGGGGATGGGAAGGGGGGAACGGGGATGGAACCGGGATAATGAGGATGGAACCGGGACAACGGGAACGGAACACCGGGAACAGGGATCAAACTGGGATAACGGGAACGGGACTGGGATAGAACCGGGATAACGGGAACGGAGCCGGGATAACGGGAATGGGATAACGGGAATGGAGCCGGGATAACGGGAACGGAGCCGGGATAACGGGAATGGAGCCGGGATAACGGGAATGGAACCAGGATAACGGGAGGAAAAAAAACGGGAATTTTCGGGGCTTTTCTGGGAATTTTTGGGAATTTTTTGGGGGGATTTTTGGTTTTTTTGGGAATTAAAAAAAAAAATTTGGGGAATTTTTTGGGTGAATTTTGTGCGAATTTTAAGGAAAATTTTGGGGTTGTTCAGGGGGATTTTTCGGGATTTTTTGGGGAAATGGGGGATTTTTTGAGGTTTTTAAGGGAATTTTGGGGGTTTTTAAATTTTTGGGATTTTTGGGGGGATTTTGTTAATTTTTGGGGGGATTTTTGGGAAATTTGGGGGATTTTGGTGCTTTTTTTGGGGAATCCTGGGGTTTTGAAATTTTTTTGAGAATTTTGGGGGGATTCTTGGGGAATTTTGGGGGATTTTGGGGATTTTTGGGGGGGATTTTGGAGTTTTTTTTGGGATTTTGGGGGAATTTTTGGGGAATTTTCTGGGATTTGGGGATTTTTGGGGGGATTTTTGGGGAATTTTGGGGGGGGGTTGCATTTTTTTGGGAATTTTAGGAATTGTTTTTAAATTTTTGGGAATTTTGGGGATGTACTGGGGGGATTTTGGGGTTTTTTTTTGGAAATTTGGAATTTTTTTCGAATTTTGGGATTTTTTTGTGGGGGATTTTTGAGTTTTTTGGGTGGATTTGGGGGAATTTTGGGGAATTTGGAGGGAATTTTTGAGGACTTTTGGGGGAATTTTGGGATTTTTCAAATTCAGGATATTTTGGGATAATTTGGGACATTTGGGATAAATTTGGGTCATTTCTGGATAATTTGGGATAAATTTGGGACAATTTGGGACATTTTGGGATAAATTCAGGATATTTTGGGATAATTTGGGACATTTGGGATAAATTTGGGTCATTTCTGGATAATTTGGGATAAATTTGGGACAATTTGGGATAAATTCAGGATATTTGGGGATTATTTGGGACATTCGGGGATAAATTTGGGACATTTTGGGACATTTTGGGATAAATTTGGGACATTTTGGGATCATTTGGATTATTTTGGTATAAATTTGGGACATTTTGGGATAATTTGGGACATTTTGGGCCGAGGGGCGGCATTTGAAGGTCGGGGGGGGTCACGTGGGGCTTTTTTGGGGCCAATTTTTGGATTTTTGGGAATTCCGGGATCACCTGAGGGGAATTTTGGCCCCTTTGGGGGAGAATTTGGGGGATTTTGGGGCCAATTTTGGGAATTTTGGGAATTTTTGGGATCTTTCCCGGCGTGTCAAGGTTGAATCCGGCCCGGGGGGGTCACGGGGGGTGGGGGAGGGGCCGCGGATATTTTGGGATGGGGGAGGGGCCGGGACCGGCCCGGAATGGAAACCTGGGAATTTTGGGAATTTTTTGGAAATTTTGGGGAATTTTGGGGGAATTTCAGGGTCCTGAGGGAGTTTTGGGGGGATTTATTGGAATTAGGGAATTTTGGGGAATTTTTGGGACATTTCAGGGGAATTTTTGGGACATTTTGGGGATTTTTTGGGGATTTTTTGGAATTTTCTTTAATTTTAGGGGGAATTCGGGAGTTCTGGGGGAGTTTTGGGAGAATTTTTAGGGGTTTTTGGGGTGATTTTTGGGAATTCTGGGGAATTTTGGGGGGATTTCAGGGTCCTGAGGGAGTTTTGGGGGGATTTATGGGAATTATGAGGGAATTTTGGGGGATTTTTGGGAATTTTTGGGACATTTCAGGGAAATTTTTTGGAATTTTGGGGATTTTTTTGGGAATTTTGGGGATTTTTTGGAAATTTTTTTTAATTTTAGGGGGAATTTGGGAATTCCGGGGGAGTTTTGGGCAGATTTTTAGGGTTTTTTGGGGGGATTTTTGGGAATTTTGGGGGCGGATTTATGGGAATTTTGAGAGATTTTTTGGGAAATTTTGGGGGTCTTGAGGGAGTTTTTGGGGGAACTTTTCGGACATTTCAGGGAATTTTGGGTTATTTTTGGGAATTTGGGGAGAATTTAGGAGAATTTGGGATCCTGAAGGAGTTTTGAGGGGATTTATGGGAATCTTTATTGGATTTTAGGAAATTTTGGGGAGATTTTGAGGGATTTTGGGGAATTTTTGGAGGATTTTTTGGATTTTTAGGGGTGAATTTTGGGGGTTCTGATCCCATTTTTGGGGTTTTTCCCCCCAAAAACGGCCCTGGGGGGCTCGGGAAGCTCCGAAGTTTTTGGGTTTTTTTTTTGGGGGGGGATTTTTTGGGTTGTGCTGATGGAATTTGGGGATTCCCGAATTTCGGGGTGCCCCAAAATTTGGGGTTTTCCAGGTGATCCAGTACCAGACCGTGCGCTACGACGTCCTGCCCCTGTCGCCCATCTCCAGGAACCGCCTGAGTGAGCCCAAAATTGGGGAGAAAACCCGAAAATTCGGGATTGGGAACCCCAAAATCGGGGTGGGAAGTCAAAAATTGGGGAGAAACCCCAAAATTGGGGAGAAAAATCACAAAAATTGGGATTGGGAACCCCAAAATCAGGGAGGAAGCCCCAAAATTCGGGGTGGAAAATCCCAAAATTGGGGAGAAAATCACAAAATTCAGGATTGGGAGCCCCAAAATTGGGGAGAAAAACTCAAAATTGGGGTTGGGAACCCCAAAATTGGGAAGAAAACCCGAAAATTGGGGTGGGAATTCCCAAAATAGGGGGAAATCACTGAAATTTGGGATCGGGAACCCCAAAATTGGGGAGAAACCTGAAAAATCAGGATCGGGAACCCCAAAATTGGGGAAAAAACCTAAAACTGGGGTGGGAAATCCCAAAAATTGGGGAGAAAACCCGAAAATTGGGGTGGGAAATCCCAAAATTGGGGAGGGAAACCCCAAAATTGAAGAAGGAACCCCAAAATTTGGGATGGGGAATCCAAAATTGGGGAGAAAACTCGAAATTTGTGATCGGGAAACCAAATTTGGGGAGAAATCCCCAAAATTTGGGATTGGGAACCCCAAAATTGGGGAGAAAACCCCAAAACTTGGGGGGGGAATCCAACATTGGAAAGAAAATCCCAAAACTGGGGAGGAAAAACCCAAAATCAGGGTGGGAAATCGCAAAAATTGGGGAGGGGAAATCCCAAAATTGGGAAAGGAACCCGAAAATTTGGGATCGGGAACCCCAAAACTGGGGGGAAAACCTCAAAATTTGGGATTTAGTACCCCAAAATTGGGGAGAAAACCCGAAAATGGGGGTGGGAAATCCCAAAAATTGGGGAGGGAAATCCCAAAATTGAGGAAGGAACCCCAAAATTTGGGATCGGGAACCCCAAAATCGGGAGAAAACCTCAAAATTTGGGGTGGGGAATCCAACATTGGAAAGAAAATCCCAAAATCGGGATGGAAAATCCTAAAATTTGTGAGAGGATCCCAGAATTGGGAGAGAAAAACCCCAAACCTCCAAAATCTGCCCCAAATTCTGGAGCTGTGCCCCCAAGTTCCCAAATTTTGCCCCAAATTCCCCAATTCTGCCCCTAAATTCCCAAATTCTGCCCCAAATTCCCAAATTTTGCCCCCAAACCCTGGAATTGTGCCTCTAAATTCCCAAATTCTGCCCCAAATTCCCAAATTTCCCCTCTAAATTCCCAAATTCTGTCCCAAATTCCCAAATTTTTCCCCTAAATTCCCAAATTCTTCCCCTAAATTCCCAGGTTCTGCCCCTAAATTCCCAAATTTCCCCTCTGAATTCCCATATTTCCCCTCTAAATTCCCAAATTCTGCTCCTAAAATCCCCAATTTTGCCCCAGATTGCCAAATTCTGCCCCAAATTCCCAAATTTTGCCCCCAAACCCTGGAATTGTGCCTCTAAATTCCCAAATTCTTCCCCTAAATTCCCAACTTTCCCCTCTAAATTCCCAAATTTTGCTCCCAAACCCTGGAATTTTGCCCCTAAATTCCCAAATTTCCCCTCTAAATTCCCAAATTCTGCTCCTAAAATCCCCAATTTTGCCCCAGATTGCCAAATTCTGCCCCTAAATTCCCAAATTTTGCCCCCAAACCCTGGAATTGTACCCCTAAATTCCCAAATTCTGCCCTTAAATTCCCAAACTCTGCTTCCAAATCCCTGTATTTTCTCCCCTAAATCCTCAAATTTTGCTCCCAAATCCTGGAATTTTGCCCTGAAATTGCCAAATTTTCCCCCAAAATTCCCCAATTCTGCCCCAAATTCCCCAAATTTTGGCCCTAAATTGGGAATTTTGCCCCAGACCAGGTGAAGAGGAAGATCCTGGTGCTGGACCTGGACGAGACCCTGATCCACTCCCACCACGACGGAGTCCTGAGGCCCACGGTGCGGCCCGGCACCCCCCCCGACTTCATCCTCAAGGTCCCGGGGATTTTGGGATGAATTTGGGGGATTTTGGGAAAATTTNGAATTTGGGGGATTTTGGGAAAATTTGGGGAAATTTTGTGGAATTTGGGGCAGTTTTAGGGCAGTTTTTGGGGTTTTTTTGGGGTTTTTTGGGGTTTTTTGGGGTATTTTTGGGGTATCCTGAGGCCCACAGTGCGGCCCGGCACCCCCCCCCGACTTCATCCTCAAGGTCTGGGGGAAATTTGGGAGAATTTTGGGGGATTTTGGGAAGTTTAGGGTGAATTTTGGGGTCCCAGTGCCGATTTTGGTTTTCTGGGGCCAATTTTGGGTTTCTGGGGACAATTTTGGGATTCCTGGGTTCGATTTTGGGGTTCTGGGGCCAATTTTGTGGTCCCAGTTTGGATTTTGGGGTCCCGGTGCAGATTTTGGGGGTTCTGGGTCCAATTTTGGGGTCCCAGTACCAATTTTGGGGTTCTGGGTCCAATTTTGGGTTCTGGGTCCAATTTTGGGGTCCCAGTTCCAATTTTGGGGTTTTGGGGCTGATTTTGGGGTTCTGGGTCCAATTTTGGGGTCCCAGTTCCAATTTTGGGGTCTCGGTGCCAAATTTGAGGTTTTGGGGCTGATTTTGGGGGTCCCAGTTTGGATTTTGGGGGTCCCAGTTTGGATTTTGGGG